TCGTCGGAGAGCGGACCTTGGGGGCAGTGATTCCCAGAGCTATCCCCTGGTAGGTTATGGCCCCTCTCGTGTTTCTCGTTCTCGTATTCTCTCACTCCTAAGTCTGGCTCCTTGTGTCAACATCTCTGCCACAAACAAGCTGTTCTAGATGTCAATTCCACAGTAATAATAACTTCAGCTCAGTTAGAAGGAAAACACTGACGTTCCCGTCTCTACTGTACTCTTAGTGGAGGAACACTTGTCTGTATCGCCTTACTGAGGTTTCCTCTTCTCAGACTGACAGATATCATTACCTGATGTATGAAACGTATTCCATGTGATGGAATATGACAGAAGTACATAGCTATCATGTAGAGTAAGATAGTAGCACACTGATATAACTAACTTTGCTTAAAATAGTATATTTTGCCTCTTTCTCCCATCAATGGGTCCCGCTTCCTCCACCTTCCTCCCAGCAGGAGGTAATCTCAGTTACACGAGCGAGCTTTTATTGAGCCAGTTGCTGGTGACACGTTTTTTACATATAATTGGGGTATAGGCAGCACCCCCGCTGCTGCAACCTTTCCGCTGATACTAACGTTATTTATTATTATTATTATTTTAATAAACTGGCAGTAAACATGTATTTGTCGTACAGCGTTTGATATTAGTGTTATGGTCACGTGTGAAAATAAAACAGCAGTTTGAGGGGCTGCCGGGGGCTACGTACAGCTAGTATCAATGATAAGCTTTCAGTAAAGAATCCTTCCTGGTCTGAAACCTGACCACGGGGATGATTATTCCTGAAACACACTTCAGGCTTCCTGGTTGATGTGTGTGATCATTCCGGCGTAGACAAACCACAACCTGGGGAGCAGTGGCATCAAATATCCACATGATGGATAAAGAGACTGCTGTATCCAGACACCATCTCCATAGGATATTCAAGGCACAAGATAGTGCAGTTTTTAACAAATATCGATGAATTTGAAGTTCCAGAACTCTGGGAACAAGGTGCATGGACATCCTGTTAATTAATGGGTTAGGGTTAGGTTAGTTTTGAGGATCTTTTTTTTTTTTTTGAAGTTTCATGAAAAAGTCATTAGACTCATCAGACTGATGGCTCATTGAACACAGCTATATTGTGACTTTAGTATTTCACTCATTTCTTTGGTGTCATCAGCGTAGGTTGTCTGCTTTAAGCAAGGACCTGATACTGGATGTAGTTTTTGCGTATTTTAAAAGAGCTTTTTAAATCTTTTTAAATCTCATTTATGGGTGTGGCAGATGTTTGACGGGTGCATTAAGGAGTATAGCAGGTGTTTCACGGGTGCTTTAGGAATTGTAGCAAGTGTTCGACGTGTGATGGGTATGTTAGGGAGTGTATCAGGTGCTTCATATTTGTTATTGATTGGAGTGTGTGTTACGGAGTGTAGCAGGCGTTTAATGGGTGTAATAGGTGTAGGTGGGTTTGTTACAAAGTGTAGGTGTTTGACGAGTGTTAGGGGGTGTAGGTAGGTGTGACGTGTGTGTGTGTGTGTGTGTGTGTGTGTGGAGAAAGGGAACATTGCATCAGAGGCACAAATTAGCATAGTCAAACAGGAGAGGTATTGGAGCTCTACCTGGTGTAAACACTTGACGTCAAGGTCGCATAGAAGCAGGTTAGAGAGGCAGGGGAGCTGCCCCTCACCCATTGACAAGTGGGTAACGGGGTAAAGGAGAAAGCCAAAGTGAGGGGGGAAAGGAAGGAAAGCGAAGAGATGCATCCATTAAAGATGGAGATGGGTAATGGGAAGAAAACTGGAAGAGGTAAAGGAGTAGAGGGAAAAGAAACATAAATGCTGTGTTTATCGATAAAGGTTTGTTAGGCGGAGAAAGAGAGGAGGAAAACAAGTTGGAGGAAAGGAAGGAAGTGGTCAAGATACATTCAAATAGACTCTTGGTCAGTCTGTCTCAAACCTCCATTGATTTTTTTTTTATTCCCGAAATGTACTTCAGGTTTCGTATAAATTTTCAGTTGTGTAAACACCATAGTGGCGGCTTTGGGAACTAATTATTTTTTAATTGACATTTACTGATATTTTTGGTTAGGTTTAAAACAATTGTACCAAACATGAAACTTAGTATTCTCTGACTTTGTAGTGTCATGCAGTGCAGAAATGTTCAGCTTTCTCCAGTACCACCTGTGTTTGGTTTCTGGTGAAGTCGATACCCGTAAATATTACACAGTGTGCAAAACAACCACTGTGAAAAAATAGTGAATTTCCAGGCGCTTTCCTGATTTCTCACATTATCTAGAAATTGTAAGAATAGTAGGACAGCAGAAGGCTTATAAGGCTGAGATATCACCTCAGGTGTCACGTGGTATGTGAGGTGGTATCTCAGCCTTATAAGCTTTCCTCTGTCCTATTATTTTTAGTTCCATGATAATGTGAGAAATCAGGAAAGTGCCTGGAAACTGACTTTTTTCACAGTGGTTATTTTGCAATTATATATATATATATATAATATATATATATATATATATATATATAATATATATATATATATAATATATATAAAATATATGTCGTGCCGAATAGGCAGAACTTGCGATCTTGGCTTAAATAGCAACGCTTATCTTGCCATATAGGATAAGTGAAAATTTGTGTATGCAATAATTTCGCCAAAATCATTCTGAACCTAACGAAGAAAATATATATTTCACTGTATTTGTTTAGTATTAAATTATTGTAAACAAATCTAAAATATATTTAGTTGGGTTAGGCTAAAATAAATTACGCTTGTTATAATAAGGTTAGGTAAGTTTTCTAAGATTCTTTTGGTGCAAAATTATAATTTTTTACATCAACATTAATGAAAAATATATATCTTTAAACGTATAAGAGAAAATTTTAGAAAGGACTTAATTTTAAATGAGTTCTTGCTAATTGACCAGTTTTACATATTCGGCACGACATATATATATATTATATTATATTATATATATATTATATATAATTAGGATGGGGCATCTTTTTATTGTGATTTCCCGTAATATTGTTGAAAATGTTGAGTAAACAAATATGAAGCTTCGTAATGGACACACTGTACTGTGTAGAGGAGTCACGTCGAGGTTCAACTTTGCAATGATTGAAGTGTATTAAGTGCACTAATAATGCTGTGGTGGACATATAGTTTCCCGTCCCCCCACACACAAACTTTTTGAAATTTTGGTCATGATCCAGCCGAACTCTCCATTAGTTCAGGCTCTATTCTTTGCAAGAGGATGCAACACCGAGAGAAGATTGCTGCAACGATAAAAGAATATCTTGTTCCCAACGCGCCCCTCATTGTACGCTGTGATGACAAGTTGCTTCCCAATCTCGCCATGTATTTTTTTATTCTTGGCTGGACGGTGATTTGATCCCTGACCTTAATGATATTATTGTGTATTCGAAACGCTAAACCCATGCGGGTTATTCAGTGCAAGGAGTGGTGGAGACTCACCTGGGTGATGAGAGCCGTGACTCGCACCACTAAGTTAGGGCGGTTGATACCTCGGACCTTACCAGTCAGAGGAAAGTGTACCAGCTTCCTGTCCTTGTCTTAGAGGAAGACATATCAATGCTACTTGAAGTCTCACTGCTGTCTTCAAGGACTCGAGAACAACTGGCAGCAGCTGTTCTTCAGTGTCATGAGGAATAGAGGGCTGAAAACCAAATACAAATGATGATTTTCGACACAGTGCGGGGTTGAAGAATGGGTGCTGCACTCTGCAACAGAAACTCAACAGTAGTATGCATTCTTCACTTCGCCTGTGTCACCACATGATAAAAATTTGGCTGAAAATGTGTTCACGGATTTCCTCGGCGCTTCGACCGGACCCGGCATTCTCCTCTTCATTGGAAAATAGAACGTAATCGTAACACATAACATAAGCACACCAATTAAACGTCGCCGTCTTAGACGAAGTAGACACCGAGGCCCTGAGAGCTAAACGAGATGAGACCATTATCATCTGTGTAGGTCAACTTGCTCAGCCGTGTGACGACTATCGTGAACTTGAGGTCTTGGATAAGGAGACTCCTGAGTGCCAATTGGATCCAGATTGCAGCGACCGCAGCATCCTGAGATGGGAAGACTGTCGCTGATTTTGTCACTGGGTCCTCTTGACCGGAAAGCTGAACATTCACCCTTTCGGCTGAGTGACAGTCGCGTAGATAATTATAAGACCGCGTGTGACTGCACGCTCGTATTTTATGCAGCCAGTGACTTCGCCAAGTGACGTGTTGTCCTCATTAACGAATACAACTTGGCCCTGTCAAAGAATGAGAAGCAGAAGCAACTTATCTTTCAAGTGGTTGAGGAACACAGACAGGTGTTCCCAACACTCGGTAGTCTGTAGTGACCCCGAGAACTCATAGCAAGGTAAGAGTGAGCGGGAAACGGGCTCCCATGAAACCTCTTTTCCTAGAGTGCAAGTCTGTGCAGAGACCTCCCGTCCTCGCAACAAATCCAGAGTGCATCTTTTCACCCCACTTGAGTTTAATATCTTTTATTATGCACCTCATATCCATCCTGTGGGTGGTAGTCAAAAGATTACAGAGGTACCTAATGGGTCTAGGGACTGGGCCGCAAAGTTTTGATAGCTAGAACAAGTTACAGCGATAGTGAACTATTTACATGTTTATATCTGGTCACAATCGTAATGAGTTTTTTTATGCAGACATGAATTAGGTCACACACACAAAATGTGATAATGCTTTATTTACAGTGAGCAAAGTCGGGGTATTTTTTCAGAATGGTTTGTAATACACCACTGTCTTCATCCCACTTGCAACCAAACAACAATAACAAACAGTTGTAAGTTGTATTCCAGGGCATCCAACTGAGGACATGAAGTTACAAGCCTGCCGTTCTACCGACTATTAATCTAACCACATGTACTCATCATTTTTTATCCTCCGTTCATCTACTCACCATTCATCTAACCATCATTCACTTACTCGCACATATTAAGTTAATATTTTTCTTTCCAGGGACAAGGTCATCCGGGTTAACATGAACAACGTCAGCCAGACCAACTGTGAGGTGAGTAACATACATCAGCCTACACCTGTTCCATTACACCTCATCTGCACCTGCTTCACTCTACCTGAGACACTACACCTACACTCCACATCTGCAGTGTACATCTGCTAGATCGTGCACCTATTGTACACTTACATTGTGTACCAGCAGTGTATAGAGACGTCTCTCAGTATATATACGCTGAGTTGACTTTAGTACTTATTTTAGCGATGAAACTATTCGTGATGTTGACCTACAGGTGAATTGTGAGAAGGGTAATGGCGATGGTATAGCTGGTACGGGAAGTAGGGACACGAGAGGCATGGTTAGGAGAAAGGGAAAGAAGGGAGGTATTGTTAGGGGTGTCTGGGCTGCGTGAGCAGGAAAACTCTCGAAACCCTTCAAAGGGAAAGAAGCAAGGGACGAGGGGCAGCGGGAAGGGGAACGTACATCAGCCTGCCCTAGTCACGACAGGCCTCAATTACCTTTTTTTGACATGTAGTTTTTTGAGTGTGAGCTACGTAGTAATGTGGCCAGGCTGGTGTGGCCAGACTGGGCCTGTGAAAACATTCTTGACTCGTCAGAGTTAACTCAAAAAACTCTCGTCTCTGGCCACAGTAGAACATGTCTGATGAACAGTAGACCTGGGGTTTCTGATGAACAGTAGACCTGGGGTTTCTGATGAACACTAGACCTGGGGTTTCTGATGACGACTAGACTGGGGATCTCTGACCACATTATAGGGATCTGGTCACAGAAGACTGTCATCCCAGGACCATAATTAAGGGATCTGGCTATGCGGGTAGTCAGGTAACCTCCCAAGGAGATAGTATAAGGATTGGCCTCTTTCTCCCCTCCCCCCACCACACACACGACACTGGCCGTCCACGTGGCCTTCACATGCAAAACCTCAATTTTGGACCTGGTGAGGCAAAAAACAGAACATGGTGGCCTGGCCGGCCCCTAACCTGAAGCGCTTCTTCATTTGTTACTTACGTTGTCTTTTTGTTTGTACTTCCTTTTCCACTTTCCTTAAGATGCTCTCTGCTTTGTACCTAATCCATCTACCTGATTGACTGGCCTAACTAGTCCTGATATGTCTTCATTACTGCCTTCCTATTACTTGCCTCTCCCTCCCCCTCCCCCTCCCCTCTCTCTCTCTCATTATATATATATATATATATATATATATATATATATATATATATATATATATATATATATATATATATATATATATAATGAGATGAAAAGCTGTAAGCCTTCTTCCTGAAAGCTGGCTGCCTTGGATCAAACGTCTAGCGCAAGCTGGACGCCAAGGTATTGGTCCAGTGTGGTGAGAATGGTAAGGCACTGTGTACCTTGTTCCAAGGTTCGTAGGTTCGAGTCTCCTTCGGCCAGAGATCAATGTTTGTGTATATTTCGCCTGCTCTTGCGAATTCCTTATATGTATATATATATATATATATATATATATATATATATATATATATATATATATATATATATATATATATATATATATATATATATATATAATTACCAGAGTTACTAAAGAGTGTAGACAAAGAAAATCAGAGTGTGTTCAATCCAGAACTAGCCGAGTCTACAAAACCGGTCAAATGTAAATTTCAGTTAATAATATTTAGTGTACAAAAACAAGCCTTTTCCTGAAAGGGAGTTAAACAAATAGTGCATAAATACTTCAGTATATCAATACACCAAACACGTTAGCTAATCCAAAGACATTAAGCACAGTCTGTGCGCTTAAGCACACAGTCTGTGCACACACACAGATGAAGATTGAGACACTTATGCAGCATATGGGAATCTTTATTCAGGAAACGTTTCGCCACACAGTGGCTTCATCAGTCCAATACAAAGAGGAAGGCGTAAGGAGAGGAGGAGTGTGAGGTAATCAGTCCCTCAGCCTGGAGTCGATGTGTTCAGTCCATCAATCTTGATGGACTGAACACATCGACTCCAGGCTGAGGGACTGATTACCTCACACTCCTCTCCTTACGCCTTCCTCTTTGTATTGGACTGATGAAGCCACTGTGTGGCGAAACGTTTCCTGAATAAAGATTCCCATATGCTGCATAAGTGTCTCAATCTTCAACTTGTCGGTTTTCCAAACCATTCATCACACACACACAGATGCCTAAAAAAAAATTTTCGTTACAAACCACTCGACAGTGAGTGTCCTAACTCAGGACACAGTAAATTCACGCGCAGCCCAGTGCTGACGCTCAGTTCACAGTGATATAATGTAAGATGTGTTTTTGTGAGTGTAGTCTACAGAAGCAGGAAGATCGTGCCTGTTACAACTAATAAAGCATTGTGACAAAATTACGGAGGCTTTGGAAGAAAACCAAAACGCATATATGGTGTATACGGATTTTGGAAAGGCTTTTGACAAATGCTATCTATACCTGGATTATCCCTTGAGGATGTTCCGGGGGTCAACGCCCCCGCCGCCCGGTCCATGACCAGGCCTCGCGGTGGACCAGGGCCTGGTGAACCAGGCTGTTACTGTTGGTAGCACGCAAACCGAATTATGAACCATAGCCTGGTTAGTCAGGAACTGACTTTAGGCGCATTCCCATCTCCCTCTTGAAGACAGCCAGGGGTCTGTTGGTGATTCCCAGTATGTATGCTGGGAGGCAGTCGAACAGCCCATGGAGTGATTTCACACAAAATTAGGGCGATAGATATAACTGGAAAAGTAAGCTAATAGATATATAGAACACAACCCAAAATCCAGCATAGGTAAAGTAACAAGCTCAGCACTCCACGGCACAGACCTGGCGCCTCTGCTGTTTCTTATCCTCGTAGCAGACATAGATAAAACGACTTGCCACTCTCTCCAGGTAAACTCCAGGTAAACAGTTTTGTATCATCAGTTGCAGATGATCCCAAAATAACCATAAAAATCAACTCTATAGAAGACACGGAAAAAAGGCAAGAAGATATAGGCAAAATATTTCAGTGGGCAGTGGAATATGTCTTTCAGTGGTGACAGGTTCCAATTGTTTAGATGCTATATTATAAACTTTATGTCCAGGAAGTATAGTTTACAATTGAGTCAGAAAAAGTGATATTATTACCATACTTGTATAGAAAACCTATTGTTATTCATAATTCGGGAAAAAATGAGGAATAAAAGGAACACTGTCTAAAACACAGGAGGAGTACCAAACAGAACGAAAGGAACATGTGAAGGATCTGGGTGTAATAATGTCGGCTGACTTTTCTATCAAAGAACACAGTAAGGCAAATGTCACGACGGCCAGGAAAATGACGAGGTGGATAATGAGGACTTTGAGGACAAGAGAAATAATGATAATAATGACACTTTTTTCAAATTGGTTTTGCTCTCTTGCTTGAAGTGACCTTCGCTGTTGACAGGTGAAACAGATTCAAACATTATATACTGCCTACATAAAGCCAGTAAAGATTTTAAATTACTGGGAATGTCTCAAAATCCTAAATAAGTACTCTGTGGAGAATAGGAGAAACACATGATAATATATATCTAGAAAGTATTTAAGGGCCAGGTCCCCAGTCTGCACGCTGGCATAACAACATACTGGATTGAGAGATACAGGAAATGTGTAGAATAAATATACGCGGTCCCAGACTTTTTAACATCTTAACAGAAGTTATCAGAAACACTGCTGGACCAAGTATATGAGTTTTTAAGAGGAAACGACAATTTTCTCTAAGTGCCAGATCAACCAGGCTGTGACAGATTTGTGGACCAGAAGGCCGCCAGCAGCAACAGCCTGGTTGACCAGGCAAGCACCAGACAAACCTGGCCCAGAGCCGGACTACGAGAGTAGCAAAACTCTTAGAACCCATCAAAGATAGTCTTCTCAATGAGTATGATAATGTTGTTAAAAATGTGAGACGATGTAAAAATTACACGTTCCAAAATTGTGCGCTTGAGACTGTGTCATTGAAGACAGATTGACCATCGCTTACGTCATCCCCGGGTTGGCAGCAGTCACGAACTGAACTTCCTCTCAGCCTGGTAGGTAGGAGAAGGGTGGAGGTGGAGGCTACACTTTGTAATTTACCAAAACGTAACAACGCGCACCTCTTCTTCGGATGTTACCAGTTTGTAACAGCCGCTCCACGGTATCTCACTGTCAGTTTTTTTTGTTTGCTCGGGGTGAGTGATAAACTCGTAGGGGTTATATAACACTTGAGAAATGGAAGGCATTCAGGTTCGTTTCAAGAAGAGGAGAATAAATCCAGTTCCCTGGATCAAGACCCTCTTATCGGAATAAAAGAACATTTTTCTGAAGGGGATCACAAATAATAGATAATACGTAAAGGAGATAATAGTGGTTATTACAACCCAGACGGACGTTATCCTCAATATAACCACTGATGAGGTGTTCCTTTGATATAATAGTAATCCTTACATTAATATTAATAATTAATCTCTGAATATACAAACACCAAACAATAAGCTGACACCAAAAATAGGGTGTAACATACGTACAGAGGTACGTAAGTTACATCCTATTTTATACAGTAAGGTAACTACAGCAAGGACCAGGAAAATGATAGGGTGGATAATGAGAATCTTCAAAACAAGAAAGTCACACCATATATGGTACTCTTCAAATTACTTGTGCACTCGTCTTGAATATTATGTGTTCACAGCACTTTAAGGTATGAGAAGTGGCACTTAGAGCTAGAACTTCGCAAGTGTCTGTTTTGGCAGGAAATGTGGTACTTTTAGCTCATTCTTTAGGATCACTTACTTCTCCTAACAGACAGAAGTAGTGCAACATCTGGAGTGTGGCTCATGTGTTGCAAACTGGTCAGTGATTTACTTATAACTGCAACATTGCAAGAGCACTTAAATGTGATGTGCAGCACATGTTGGTCCCGTGTTAGTGTTGCCAGCTGCACACGCGAAGGTTGTTACTAGTTCGCGTGTTAATAGTTCGCTACAACCTACTGGTCGTTACAGCCTACTGGTCGTTACAGTCTGCTGGTCGTTACAACCTAATGGTCGCTTGTTTGAATCACTGACGGAGAGAAAGACAGTCTATACTGCCATTGTATGATGGCTTGACAGTACACGCCTAGTGTTAGTAACTTGTATGACTCAATATCTGTAATCACACAGCTGGGACTCCAGCCTGGTGGGCCCCTCGTTTTTCTACCAGGTAGGCAGTAGATGATGATAATTTTATATCTGAGGAAGCGCTGAACCCGTAGGAGTCACGCAGCATGGGAAACGAGAGGTAATTATATCCGATCTAACGAAAGGAAGAGCAACTCCAATTCTTTGGAACGAGAGTAGTTTACCAGCGTCAAAACACCTCCCTTGAACGGGACTACCATAATAACAGCAGAATTCTTTTTGCAAACAAATAGTTGAGTACTGACACAGATGCTGCCTGGGAATTATATGTAAGACAAAGTGAAACTCAGACCTGCCTGTCTCACTTTCTCAGTTCCTGACTGCCCGAGGGTGGTGGTGAAGGTGATGGCAGTGTTCTGTTCGTCAGGGAACGGAAAGTGTCTCCTGTCGCGGGTCTTTTATCAGTGACCCGTTCAGTGGTTAAGCATCCGCTAGGTTTTCCACAACGTTTAAAAATCCGACAAATCAACACATAATGTCAGGATAGCCACGGAACGGGTGGGGGTTTGAACCTATGTCGAGTGAGTCGTAAAACTCAGGACATTATTCAGTGAGTAAAACCAAGAGCAGGAGCCGATGCCCATTCCTGACACTGACCTTTTGTATTTCCCTGTCTGCTGTGTACAAGTGCTTTAGAAGAGGGAAGATTTTTCTGATTTTTTTATTGATACATTATTTTTTTTTTTCAGACGGACGCCATCGTGCTGGAGCCGACCAGTGTGTCCAACTGTGTGTCCCGGGGAAAGTCTGAGGTGAGTTACTTGCGTTCGTGCGGCTGCAGCTCCTGGGTCTCGTCTCTATAATCAACCAGCATTATTGGTTCTTGACTTCTTGCCGTATCGTATCTACTCTTGAAACTGTGCATGGAGTTCACCTCCTCATTCGACTCATTCCACTTACCAGCCAGAGGTGGACTGGACGAAATGTTTTCTAACATTCCTGTGACTAATCTGTATGTTAAACTAATAAAGTGGAGATAAAGTGGTTAAAGCAGGAATTTCCAAACCCAGGGTCATGAGAATTGTTTCAGCATTTGTTTATCTTTGCCACCTTTTGTTATTATCTAAGACTTTATTATTTTTAGTGTTTTTTAACTACTGATGCGATCTTTACTGTTTCAGCACTTCGACTGTCGTAACCACATCCGGGTGATCCAGCCCATGTCTAATAACCGCCTTTACATTTGTGGAACCAACGCCCACAACCCCAAGGACCTGGTCATCTATGTAAGTACTTGCACTCCCACACCAACTTCACATACCTGTTTACATTCTCACCACAGAAAATTGAAAGATAATTCATTAATCCTATAGACTCGACCTCCTGATTACTGTTTTGAATGAATTTTTTTTGTTTGTGGACTGCAACTTGCAACAAGTGCCGGATCAGCCAGGTTGCAGTGGCTGTGTGGGCTTGCGGGATGCTAGCAATAACATCCTAGCTGATAGGGTAGTTTTTCATTAACATGTTTGATATGCAGTAATTACCCAATGTAACTGAGACCTTTAGGGTTTTCATGTGTGCTCATTGCTGTATAAAATATGTGGGACTCCAGCTGCGTAGATGCATTATTTATAATGCGTAAGCCATTATAATGATTTATAATTAGTTACGTTAAGAAACCACCAGGCGTTTATTAATAAACATTTGCTAGTTAATACTGAAGAGGTAAGGTGGCACAAACAAGGCAACATGGAGACTGATGTTGGAGGTGAATCTTTGGGCCTCACGCTAAGACCCTTGTTTATTAGTGTATTGAAATGGACCTCAATATCAGACTGAAATATACAGTAATATTATTACTTTGTTTCATTCTTTCCGCGTGAGTTCATTTGTACAGTGAGCAGTGTTGATTGGAGTTAGGTAGAGGTGGGTCTGTTACAATTTTAGAGGGCAGAGACTCCAGCCTCTTCCACTATTTGCGTCTGAATGACGCAAATGAAATACAGTAGGCATCTTTGTGAAGAGTAATGTTACTACAGGCCAACCTGACGCACCTGGCCCGTCACGAACACGTTCCTGCCGTCGGTTCTGGGGTGGCCAAGTGTCCCTTCGACCCCGTGGACAACAGCACGGCGGTGTGGGTGGAGAGTGGTAACCCGGGGTCGCTACCGGGGCTATACTCCGGTACTGTGGCAGAGTTCACCAAGGCAGACACGGTTATCTTCAGGGCAGACCTTTTCAACTTCACCACCAAGAGACGAGAGTATCCCTTCAAGAGAACTATCAAGTACGACTCCAAGTGGCTAGACAGTGAGTATCCTCAGATGTTCAGGAATAATTGTTGCAGATGGTCCTCGACCATACCTCAGTACCTATACCTGAAATTAAAGTCTAGTGAGGACCGTCACCGTCACTGGTACCGGTCCTCACTCTGTCATGGGTTGCCATTGATACCTTCTTTCTTGTCTCGGAGAATTTCCCCTCGTATCCGTTGCTGTCTTGCAATATTACAAAGCTCCTAACGACGCACGAGTGTGTGAAAGATCTAGTTTAAAATTTTCCATCCTCGTGTGACTTGTTCTACATTGTTAATATCGTCTGTTTGGATTGTATTGCATTATTTTCTTATAAATATTAGCACTATGAGATTTTAAAAGAAAGTTTGAGTAAATAAGGGTTAATTAAATAGCAAACATTTTGTCCACAGAAAACATCGATACAGTATAACACACTATTGATATGAAATGAGAATTTCTCTGTCTTGAAATTAAGAATAGTACTGAAGACTAAACTGGTGACCTTGTAAATGCAAATTTCGTTGTTTGTGTTCGGGTGAGAATGAGTAGTTAACCACAATTCGTGCACTTTCCAGAGCCTAACTTCGTGGGGTCTTACGAAGTCGGGGAGTACGTGATGTTCTTCTTCCGGGAGACGGCGGTTGAGTACATAAACTGCGGCAAGAACGTGTACTCTCGCGTGGCTAGAGTGTGCAAGAAGGACACAGGTGGCAAGAACATCCTGACTCAGAACTGGGCCACCTACCTCAAGGCTCGCCTCAACTGCTCCATCCCAGGAGAGTTCCCTTTCTACTTCAACGAGATCCGTGAGTAGTGGCTACGCTGGTGCGGCCCTTGTTACCAACCCAGGTCCCTTCAAGGGACCTTGGATCAGATCTTATTATCTTCGGTCTCCGGCACTGTATGACCTCTTACGATTGGTTTAATGCTTTCCGATGATGATAATGTTCTTTTATAATAATGTTTTTTAATAATAATGAAGAATTTAGAAATATTACCAGAGAGTGCAAGAAAATTAGTTACCTAGAGTAGTTTCAGCAAGTGAGAAACAGATACAGTATTGTGTTAGTTCCTTCAAGAGTAAAATTTAACGAAAATAAAACTCGACCATTGGTTATTCCGCTCATTTAAAATATTAACTATATCTGGATTCTCAAAATTATATTCGTAAAAAGAGATAAGATTAATAATGTTAATGAGAATGTAAATTAGAGGAGTTTTTTAATACAATGCAAAGGTTGATGAGGCATATATACATAAGTGGAACAAGTGAAGGCTATAATGAAGGAACACAAAGTTCACTCTTAAGTATATTTCATCATATCCAGTGCAGGAATTACATTGCTGATTGTGGCAGAACTGAAGTAATATATCACACAAATTGCAGCCACAAATTGAAAACAGTAATCTGTAGTGATGAACGTTATTAGAGAACACAGGTGACCTGACGTCATCACGAGGGTAACAAGAGGTGCAGGTCTTAAAGCTGATGCAACAAGGTCAGGTCATGCAACATGATCTGACTTCAATTTTATATAAATTAGCCTCGGTGCACTTAATTAATTATGTTTATTAATCTGTAATGAGGAGGATCAAAGAGTATGGATCTAAATATTCACGTGTTGTCTGTTTTAAAATTTAAATGTGTTTCTGAAGTGGCGTACAAGTGAAACATTACACTTAGTGTTATGTTACATTGTACCTCATTATAATGTGTTGTATTGTTCCTAACAGAGTCTGTGTACAAAATACCTGGCGATGACACTCGCTTCTACGCAGTCTTCACCACCAGCATGAACGGCCTCATGGGCTCAGCCATTTGCACCTTCAGTCTGGATGACATCCAAGATGCCTTCCTGGGCCGCTTCAAGGAGCAGGCGACCTCTTCCTCGGCCTGGCTGCCCGTCCTCACCTCAAAAGTGCCAGAGCCGAGACCAGGCCAGTGTGTCAATGACACCCAGACACTACCAGGTAAGTGTCACTTATTGCTCTGTGTTGTACATTTGGCCTCTTCCTCTGGAGGTTAGTGAACAGTTGGTCTCTTCCTCGATTGGCTAAAAGCTTAACTAGCCTCTATCGCGAGATCAGTTCAGTCAGTTTGACATTTTAGTTATAGCAGGAAGACGCTGTTAACCTTTAGGTGCATAAGCTGATCTAACTCGTTCCTTTTTTTTGACGAAAAGGCTGAGGAAACATGTGATATCTTCATTACAAGGTCGAGAGAAAGGATTTATTCCCATTCTGAGTGACCCATATTAGGGCTCGACCTCTTTTTCCTTGCATGAGCCTGGAAGCATGGATCTTCTCACCTCACACTAGTCAATATTGACATGACGTGTTCTCTCACTCTTATAAACCATCGGCCACATAATCTTATTTTTGCAAATGGTGCTAAGCGCTTCTCTAGTGAGTTTTGTCTTAGGCATTCACCTGCCTCTCCTCTCCCCACCCATGGCTCACCTGTGTTGGTTCCAGGAGGGATTCTGGCGCAGATGTAACAGCTGCGCGAATATGGAAAAATCTACTTTTAAGTTTGGCTTAGAGAAATCCTTTTTTTTTTTTAATCTTGCTTTGAGTATGACTTTGTACAATAGTTCTTAACTGCCCCATCCAGACCCACCGTCCTTTTTCTGAACGTAGCTGTGAAAAGTTTTCCTTATCCTCCTGAATGTAACTTGAAAGCTCCCTTTTAACAATTTTTTTATGCGCTCTTGGAAATATTTGTCTCCGATTCCTTTTTCAAACCTTGATACACCATTGTTTTAGAAATATTTATTTACCTGCTGATTCCCCTTTTTTTGCACTCTTCAAAAGGTCTAAATCATCATCTTTTCCTCTGTCCCCCGCTTCCCTCCCGTGCCTCTCGTATAGTATATTCCCGGCCCTCACTTCTCCCCTTTCCCCTCACATTCTCTCTTCTCAGTTCCTCACTCCTCCTCAGTATATCTCATTTCTCCCCTCGCCTCACTCCCTCCTCATCTCACTCTCCATCCTCACCTCACTCTCCATCCTCACCTCACTCTCCATCCTCACCTCACTCTCCATCCTCACCTCACTGTTTCCGCTTCACCTCACTCTCCCTATCATCTCCATGTCACTTCAGCTTCCAGCTACAATTTCGATCTCCTGTGACAAGACATCCATGGTGAGAGGTTGTAAACCAACGTAAGAGAGACTTCCCCCGCCCTACTGGAAGTCTTAAAACTTCAGTAGTTACGAATCCCATAGTGAAATACTTGATAATATCATCGTCGCCCTTTTGGAAGTCTTCCAGGTCAGACAGAGATTTCATTACCTCATGTTGAATACCACAAATTCTGCGTGATGTATTATTACAGAGAAACAGCTAGCTTTTGTCTGCCATATAGCTACTGTATGTATACATACATACACGTATATGCAAAACAACCACGGGGGGAGTTGAATGATAGCTCTAGGCCTTATTGCAAACAACACGTCAGGAACTTTGCGTTGCAGAAAAGAGTAGGAGGTCAAAGCAAATACGATCACAAGGAGCACCTTTGCTGAAGTGCTTATATATGTCGTGCCGAATAGGTAAAACTTACTATTTTGGCTTAAATAGTAACACTTGCCGAATAAGGCAAGCGAAAATTTGTGTATGCATAATTTCGCAGCTAGCTGTTGTTCCCACTGCGTAACTATCACAACAGAGCAGAAGCACATTGCTGTTGTATCAAATTTCACTAAATATAAAGAGAGAGAGAGAGAGAGAGAGAGAGAGAGAGAGAGAGAAAAGAACGGTCGTATCACAAGAGCGTGGACAGAAGAGTGAAGCTTGAAGCTGGGAAGCCTCGAGTGTGACTGCAGGAGAGCGTGAATCAACAGTGAGTGTAAATAACGTGTTTATCTGTGCGTCCAGCTGCCAGCCTCCCCGACCCACCGTAAACACCACCCACAATAAATAATGTCCAGTTGACACCAGGCGGACAGGACCGGCTCACAAGTTCTTGTGTGGCTGATTGCTGGTATCTGAGTGTCCCCTTGATGACCCACTTGTCCTGTTGTAGGTCTGTGAGTAGCTCCTTGACGACCTACTTGTCCTGTGAGTGCCTCCATGATGGCAGTACACTCAGTCTTCCTGTGAGCTAGCTCACTCACAGCATGAGTGGCGGCACTGCCCAGTACTTCATGGTGGAACTACTTTCTTTGTGTGTCAACATATACATAATGATTGTACATTAAAATTTTGTCTCGAGGAACGAGTTAATTGATCAGTTTCACTCGTCCTGTGAGTGAACATTGATCAACTTGACTCGTCCTGTGAGTGAACATTGATCAACTTGACTCGTCCTGTGAGTGAACATTGATCAACTTGACTCGTCCTGTGAGTGAACATTGATTAGCTTGACTCGTCCTGTGAGTGAACATTGATCAGCTTGACTCGTCCTGTGAGTGAACATTGATCAGCTTGACTCGTCCTGTGAGTGAACATTGATCAACTTAACTCGTCCTGTGAGTGAACATTGATCAACTTAACTCGTCCTGTGAGTGAACATTGATCAACTTAACTCGTCCTGTGAGTGAACATTGATCAACTTAACTCGTCCTGTGAGTGAACATTGATCAGCTTGACTCGTCCTGTGAGTGAACATACCACCATAACGACAGTATTGGAGCCAAAATTTCTGACAAGCCACTGGCGGTATAATGTTCAACTTCGAATGTTGAAATTTGAAAGAATCACTTCAATGTACACTAAGAGACACCAGTATACTGAGAGACCACACGGAGGCACAGTACCGGAGGTACAGTACCGGAGGTACAGTACCGGAGGCACAGTACCGGAGGCACAGTACCGGAGGCACAGTACCGGAGGTACAGTACCGGAGGTACAGTACCGGAGGTACAGTACCGGAGGTACAGTACCGGAGGCACAGTACCGGAGGTACAGTACCGGAGGTACAGTACCGGAGGCACAGTACCGGAGGCACAGTACCGGAGGTACAGTACCGGAGGCACAGTACCGGAGGTACAGTACCGGAGGCACAGTACCGGAGGCACAGTACCGGAGGCACAGTACCGGAGGCACAGTACCGGAGGCACAGTACCGGAGGCACAGTACCGGAGGCACAGTACCGGAGGCACAGTACCGGAGGTACAGTACCGGAGGTACAGTACCGGAGGTACAGTACCGGAGGCACAGTACCGGAGGCACAGTACCGGAGGTACAGTACCGGAGGTACAGTACCGGAGGCACAGTACCGGAGGTACAGTACCGGAGGCACAGTACCGGAGGTACAGTACCGGAGGCACAGTACCGGAGGCACAGTACCGGAGGTACAGTACCGGAGGTACAGTACCGGAGGCACAGTACCGGAGGTACAGTACCGGAGGCACAGTACCGGAGGCCAGTACGGAGGCACAGTACCGGAGGTACAGTACCGGAGGCACAGTACCGGAGGCACAGTACCGGAGGCACAATACCGGAGGCACAGTACCGGAGGTACAGTACCGGAGGTACAGTACCGGAGGTACAGTACCGGAGGCACAAGTACCGGAGGCACAAGTACCGGAGGCACAAGTACCGGAGGTGCAGTACCGGAGATGCAGTACCGGAGGTACAGTACCGGAGGCACAGTACCGGAGGCACAGTACCGGAGGCACAGTACCGGAGGTACAGTACCGGAGGCACAGTACCGGAGGTACAGTACCGGAGGCACAGTACCGGAGGTACAGTACCGGAGGCACAGTACCGGAGGCACAGTACCGGAGGCACAGTACCGGAGGCACAGTACCGGAGGTACAGTACCGGAGGTACAGTACCGGAGGTACAGTACCGGAGGCACAAGTACCGGAGGCACAAGTACCGGAGGTACAGTACCGGAGATGCAGTACCGGAGGTACAGTGCCGGAGGTACAGTACCAAAGCCACAGTACCGGAGGCAAAGTACCGGAGGCAAAGTACCGGAGGCAAAGTACCGGAGGCAAAGTACCGAAGGCAAAGTACCAGAGGCACAGTACCGAAGCCAAAGTACCGGAGGCAAAGTACCGGAGCCACAGTACCGGAGATACAGTACCGGAGGTGCAGTACCGGAGGTGCAGTACCAGAGGAGCAACATTCATATATATATATATATATATATATATATATATATATATATATATATATATATATATATAATATATATATATATATAAGATCCATCAATGTTAGACTTACATTTGGAACTTTGGTTTTTTAACCAAGACAACAAGTTTTCTTAAACTTGCCCATACGTCTCGGCCAGCCCGGAAAACTAACCCGGGTTCTTTCCCTTTTGAACCGAACATTCTACTAAACTACAAGTAGCTCGATTGGTAGCACACTCAGCTCACACATTGAAGTCTGTGGTTCAATTCCTGGTACGGGTGGAAACAGTAGGACGTGTTTCCTTAAGACACCTGCTGTCCATGTTCACCAGTCAATAAAATAGGTACCTGGGTGTTAATCGACTGGTGTGGGTCGCATCCTGGGGACAAAATTGACATAATTTGCGGGAAATGCTCTGCATAATAAGGGACTTTCTGTACAGTATGTCACTGATGTCAGCTATGGTCTGTATACCTTGTACATGTACTTGTAGAAATAAAGATTATTATTGTTATTATTATATTTTTGTTGTTATTAATCACAAAACGAAGAAATGCAGACTTTCTGGCGCCAAGAAATGCAATATTCAGAGCTTTCCCGAAGTGCGTTGTAGAGATTTCTTTGAGAATGAAAGTCTGCATATCTGCCTATATGATGGCAGTCATGGAGGAAGATGGGCAGGTAGGCAGACAAGCAGGCAGTATGGAAATCAGGCAGACAAGAAAGCAGTATGTAAGTAAAGAAAGCAGTAAGAAAAGAAAGCAGCAAGAGAGATAAAGCAACAAGAGAGGAAAGAAAGCAGGTAGGCAGGTAAGCAAGTAAAGAAAGCAGGCAGACAAAAACAGCAGTAAGAAAACATGTAGACTAAGAAAGCAGACAG